AAAATCATTTTATTGGGGGCTCTTACAGCTCTCATCACAATCCATCCATCCATCTACTGTGTCAAGCACATTTGTACAAAAGTTGCTGTCATCATTTTCAAAACATTTTCTTTTTACTTGAACCCGTGGTATCAGCTCATTTCCCCCCTGCTCTCCCACCCTCCCTACCTCATGAACCCTTGCTAATTTATAAATTATTATTTTTTTCATGTCTTACACCAACCGCTGTTTCTCTTCACCCAATTTTCTGTTGTTTGTCCCCCTGGGAGGGAGTTATATGTTGATCATTGTGATCAGTTCCTCTTTTCTGCCCCCACCTTCCCCTTATCCTCCAGGTATCGCTACTTGCATTATTGGTCCTGAGGGATTTATCTGTCTTGGATTTTCTGTGTTGCGATCTCTTAACTGTACCAGTGTACATGCTCTGTGTACATGGTCTAGCCGGACTTGTCAGGTAGAACTGGGGTCATGATAGCAGGGGGGGGGGGGGGGGGAAAAAAGAGAAAAGTTGTATGTTTCATGATTGCTATACAGAACCCTGACTGGCTCGTCTCTTACTTGTGACCCTTCTGTGAGGGATGTCCAATTATCTACAGATGGGCTTTGGGTCTCCACTCTGCCCTCCCCCTCATTCACATCGATATGATTTTTTGTTCTGGGTGTTTGATACCTGATCCCATCAACACCTCATGATCACACAGGCTGGCATGCTTCTTCCATGTGGGCTTTACTACATTTCAGCTAGATGGCTGCTTGTCTATCCTCAAGTCTTTAAGATCCCAGATACTATAGCTTTTGATAGCTGAGCACCATCAGCTTTCTTCACCATATTTGCTTATGTACCCATTTAGTGATCTTGTTGGGAAGGTGAGCATCACAGAATGCTGGGTTATTAGAACAAAGTGTTCTTGCATTGAGGGAGTAATTGAGTAGAGGCCCAATATCTGTCTGTTACCTTAATACTTAATATATAAACATATGTACATAGCTCTATTTCCTTATCATTATATATAAATATATTTACATATGTACATGCCTGTATTTAGACCTCTATAAATGTCCTTTGCCTCCTAGTTCTTTCCTCTATTTCCTTTAGACATGATGTCCCACTATCATGTTTGGCCTTCATTCAGGTTTCAGTAATTCCTCTCGGCTACATTGCACTTGATCAAGCCCCACCAGGCAACCTATGCCTTCCTCACCATAGTTTTTAGACCACTTATTGTTCCCTTGTCCCTGGGTTTGTTGGCACCCTCCTTTCTTTTCCCCACCTCCCCCTCTCCTGTGTCCCACAGAACTGTTGGTTCCATGGTTTTCTCCTCTGGATTGTTTATCCTGCTTATCTTATCTAGATAGACATGTAAAAACAATAATAAGCATTAAAATAAAACAACCCCCCCCCCCAAAACAACAGAAAAGAAAAACCTATATATAGTCCCAGGTGTTTGTTGACCTTTATGAATGTTTTCTGGTCAAGTCTGATGGGGTGCCATGTCCTGGCCCCAAATTCCATTTTTGTTACTCCTTGGGGACTTCATTGCTTTGCTCCCCTGCTGCTCTGTTGCACACCCTTAGTGTTTCTTCCTGGTGTGGTGGAGTCAGATCGGGCACAATTCCTGCACTGTGTCTCCAGTGTTGTCCCCATAGCGCTATGGGTCAGTGAGGGACGTTGTGTCTCATGGTGGGGCCAGTTCTACAGTCCTCTCTGTGCATTGGCTGCTCTGAACAGGAATATCGTCCTTGGGGTTTGGTGGGCCAGGATGTGTTCCATTCTCTATCCTTCCCTCTTCATTTGCTCCTGTGTGCTCTGATCAGGTGCACCCCCTTCCTGAGCTGTAGCTTCAGTGCTGTCCTCTGTAGTGTATTCTTCTGGGGGATAGGGGTGGTAGTGTCCACGTAGCTATGATTGAGGCCGGCTAGGGGGAGCTTTCTTAGTAAGCATTTTTTTCAAGCAAGGTAAGCATCAAGTTCTGAGTCAATGCACCCAGTGGTGTTGCCTGGTAAGGTTCTCTCTGGTCACAGTGAATTATTCGTGAAAGCAATTTTGCTCAAACCTCGTTTTTTTGTGAAGGCTGATTTAAGAGAATGGCGTGTAACTGTGAAATTTTATTTCCTGCTCAGGAAGAAAAATACCGCAGAAACTGTTGTGATGTTGAACACAGCTTACAAGGACAGTGCTATGAGAAAAACTCAAGGGTATGAGTGGGTTTCTTGTTTCAAAGAAGGTGAAATGTCGATTGATAACAAATCTTGTTCTGGATGTCTGTCAACTTCCCGAATGGATGAAAATGTAGTCTCGTAGTGCATTTGGAGTTCATAGCACCAGGTCAGACTCAAGTCTCACATTGTATGAGGAAGACTTCTAGATATAGCCCATTTCAACCCTGCCTTATGGGCATAACAGATAACTCATGGCAAATAATGCTGGGATTCAGGAAGTATAGAAATACTCAGACTAAGATCAAGTTTCTACTGCCTACTAGAAATTGCCAATTTAGGTGGATTAGAAATCTAATTCTGAAAGCCAAAACTTTTAATTTTAAGAAAAAAGAAAGGGACACTGTTCATGATTTTTGGGCAAAGAAATGTTTCTTAAGACTAGACACCAAATATATCAACCTGATAAAAAGTGATAAAGTTTACTACTTTAAAATTATGAGCTTCAGGAACAAGTACCATAGAGAAAGTAAAAAGTTAAGACATATTCTTGGAGAAGATATTTGCAACACGTAATTGATGAAGGATCAGTATCTAGTAATATAAACTATTATAAATCAATCAGACAAAGGCCAACAACCCAATAGGAAAACAGGGAAAAGGCACAAACCAATGTTTTATTGAAGAGAACATGGCTAATATAAATGGTTAATAGATATATGAAAAGAAGCTCAGCCTTATTAGTTATCAGGAAAATGTAAGCTTAAGCCTCTATGTGATATAATTTTATATCCACTAAATTGGCAAAAAAAGTCTGATAATGACATATATAAGGAGGGATGTGGATCAACAGGAATGCTCGTTGTAAGTGGGTAGGATGGATGGTTGACAGTACAACTGTCACTACATTAGAGAGTGGCATATTCATGTACCCTATGATGAAGGAGTTCCTTTATTAAGTATATCCTAGTCTTCATATTAAAAAGCCCTGGTGATGCAGAAGTTAAGTGGTTGGCTGGTTCTTGGGAGGAAGATGTGGAAGTCTATTTCCATAAATATTACAGCTTTGGAAACCCAATAGAGCAGTTCTACTATCACTATGAATCAGCAACAGATTTTTGTTGCTGTTATTTAGGCTTTACATTTATATAGCAGTAGAACTTTCCAGGTAAGAAGCAGGGATAGTTGTATTGCTTATAGTACCAAGAAGCTGGAACAATCTAACTGTAACTACTCATATATAACATGAACAGATTATGGCATATTTACATAACAGAATATTATATTCCAATTAAAATAAATAAACTACAAACTGGATAAATCTAAATGTTATAATCATTTTTTTCAGAAAGCAAGTTATAGATTACTGTTCATTTAGCATGATAGTATATTTTTTGGTTAACATTTTATTGTGAATTAGGTGAAGTTTTACAGACCAGATCACCAGTTCTACATTAAAAAAATCCATACTTATTTTGTTTCAACTAATTTATTTCAATCCCCTCAATGTGTCATTACTTATCCCAATTTGCACTCTTGTTTTCCACTTACATTCTTCCTTCTTTCCTATTGCTTTGAACTTTTTCCTTGTGTAAATGGGGGACTTTTGATCTTAAATTACTGTTTTTTTCTTTTTGTTTCAATTTTACAGTGATCCAAAGCAAGCAGAAAGAAAGACTATATTGTTATCAAACATGATAAAATTGTATTTTTTAAAATGAGAATAAGCAACATAAAATTCATGGTAGTGTTACCCCAAAGAGTGGGAAAGCAGGGTGATAGAAGAGGAGAAGAATCAAAGCTTAATGCAATATTAGAGAGATTCTAATTATTCATTGATTGATGGATTTCTGGGTATGAGATGGAAACGATTGATGGCATTGAGTTTGATGAGTGAATGAGTTTATGTATTAATTGAAAAGACAAGATGATAAATACCATTATAGAATCAGGATGCTAATCTTTACAATAGCTTTTAACTTACCTGTAACTGCATTCACACCATCCATTACCTTTTCCAGAGGAACCTTTCCATTAGCTGTAATACAAAGCATAAACAATTCTCTGACAGTAATAGCACTTAGAAAAAATGTGAACTAGGGTTTGATGGAAGTGTATGTACTATTTATGTTCACTGTAAATGTATATTTCCTGGATTTGAGTGCTTGGTTCTAAATAAGAAGAACCATATGTGGTATTTGGCCCATGTATCTTAAACATAGTGTCTGACCAACAGCACATGTATTAAGTCTACAGTTCTTGGATCTTCAGATACTTGCTAAAAAGAATAGTAAAAGTCACCATTGTTAAAGGTCATTTTTTTATTGCTGTTGTTTGAGCCTTCCATCTGGCATGAATGTTTAACTATGGACTTTGCATCATTCATCTGTTCCTAGCATACTTTTTTCCAATGTCTTCTTCACCTTCTATATCCATCTCAAAGTGGTTGTGGCATATGACATATTGTTGTTTTTCTTTGACATTATTGTTAACTACTTCAAGAAATATTAGATGCTCTACAATGCTTTATTATAGATATTTTTCTTTCAATCATTTCTGGCTTTCTGTTACTCATTCATTCATTTACCCCACCTCCTTACTTGTTTGTTCTTTGCTAGTATTTGATGACCTGGTAACAATTGTGAATGCCATCTCACTGTTATTCATATGTGAGATGGCCAATAATGGCACAAGACAGGATTTCTTCTCACATTAAGAACAAGTTTTTCTAAAAGTGTCAAAGTCCTCAGATCAATCTAATTTTAGAAATTCTTATATGTGATCCCAATATTCTAAGCTCTTCCCCAAAGGGCACAATGATTCTTGATAATGCTCACCATCAATAGGCAGATTCTGCTTTATATTCTTAAGTTCCTTAATTTTGAACTTGAACCCCATGCTCCCCAGGATTGTGTTCAGGTTATCGACATTAACCATTCCGCCTAAGAAAAGACAGAAGCGTGAGGGAGAAAAACAAACAATAAATGAAGAATGTGAAAAATACTCCTAATGGTTGAGTTAAATGAACCCTTTCAAAACTGGTAAGAGTGTTAATTGGAATTACCTTATTGAAAAGTGCTTTGTTAAGAACTATTAGGATCCTTTAAAATGTTCCCAACTTTTAGACTACTACTAATTCTGTCTACTTTTAGGAATGCAGAGAAAGCTTATGCCAAATAGGTGTTCATTATAGCCTTGCTTGTAAGAAATAAAACAAAGAAAACCCCCAGAAAAACACATAAAAATTACATGTCTAACAATAGGGTTATTGGTCAGTAAACCAATGCACTTTAATTTCACAGAAAATGATGTAACTTTTCCAAAATATGGTTATCGCATGCAAAAATGTTTTTCATATACTCAGTAAAGATACAGATGCAATCTGAACAATATAAATAATGCAAGTGATCCTCTCTGTCATTACACTTTTAGCAAACACATAACTAGAATGAACCTGAGATGAATATCAGCTTATTTTTCAATCACTAGGACTCAGTTTTCCTTGCACCTGCCATATTGTGTCTAAACTCAATATGTGTCTAGTATTGGGTATATTTTGTGTACATTTTGCATGGCTCTTCTGCAAGTCAGCTACTTTGTCTAAACACTAGGTGTAAAAGGGACTATATGGAAAATTTCAAGACCAGTATGTTGATTTCTTTATGTATCCTTAATGGGGTTTTCAGAGAAATCGTGACCATAGGAGTTAAACTTTTTTTTTAACTATAAAGGGCTTCAAAATATTGAGGGGTTATAATTGGACAGGACATCTAAAAATGCAATAATCATTTAAAAATTATTATCTTAAAAATCCAGGCATTATATTAAATGAGCATCTGAAACTTTTTGTAATAAAAAATTAAAAAACAAAAAATTCACAAGTGAGCACTGTGATGGCAGATATGTTAATTAGATCAGTCCAATATTACACAGAAAGACTACTTTGGCAATTCTTAGAACTGGTTCCTTTGAGTCGGATTCAGAGACTAAGCATACATAGTACAACAAGAGTAATACATATTTACTATAAGAAGTTGAAAGACTATAAAAATAAATTACATAAAAGGCAAAGAGCTGGATATCTAATCCTTTTTTAGTTTTATTTACTAAAAGGACTATTAACATTCTTGAAGTATCCTTTTAGATATTTTCTGAAGCATACATATTTTATCTCTTAAAATAAAGTATAATAATATCATGTATTTTTATGCCAGCTTCGCTTTATACTTAAACATACCCTGGGCATATATTTAAAAAAATTTTTTAAAAATCAATTTATTGGGGCTCATACAATTCATCACAATACATAGATCAATTGTGTAGAGCACATCTATACATTTGTTGCCCTCATCA